GTGGTGAAGTAACTCGTTCGCAGAGTATATCGACTAACCCTGTTGGAGATCTACCCTCAAGGTGGGTGGATTTCTGCATCACCCAGTACTATTCTGGATTGCCTGGTTCTTCACCGTTCAGAAGCGACACGGCAACAACAGCAAGTTCTGAGGTTCAATCGCTAACAAAAACGAATATTCCAAGAACTTCGGAGGTGAGTAAAAGCTTAAGGGCCGAAGGAGGTCACATGGTTGCGACCTCTCGAACTCAACACTAAAATATAGAAAGGTGATTCTCTAATTCAATTCTCATGTAAGTCTGAGTACTTTTAGGTTTTAGTATGAAGTCGCCCACAAGTATCATATCCAATCCCACATCAACACTGCAACTCGTACTCCGGTCGTCATACAGGCGGTTGGTTTCAACTGATTTCGTATTAAAGGAATCCTTCCCGAAAAAATCGTGATCCTATCTCACCCATACCTCACTGTCTTGAGACCAAGCGTCCACGGGAACAACGAAAAGAACAAATGTTGGCGGCGGGAACGCTTCCACTTGGTTCACGGAGTGCTGTCACTAGAAACTCTTTTGACCTTTTGACTTATTGCACTGACATCTCACACTTCTACTGCATCCTATTCTATCGATCGTTTTGTCTCTACTCTCCAAAATCGCACGCTTTAACCCGATTCTTTCATTGCGTCGCCTGATACGTAGCCGCCCAAGGCGCACTTCTTTCCATGCCCCGCCTTTGGCTCCGCGCCGACTTACCTTCGATTGTCCATAGAGTGTGGTTTTTGTAGTTTGTTTCTCTTCGGAAACCGAATCTTCATGCGTGAAACTTTGTGTGCTGTTTCCAGTGATCACAACTGACACATTCATGTTGGAAAGAATGCAAGAATTTTCCGCGAAGGATTCCTTTAAGATCAGCTGAGTTCAGTTTTGGCTGAGCTCGTATTAATGGTCCCCTGCAGGATTGTATGACTGATGGCCAAATTTCCCAGAAATCTCAAAATACGCTCCAAGTGATAACACGGTCAAATAATCCTATTTCGTCTGCATAGTTACTTCACCAGCCATTTTTTCTTAGTTACGCTATCGCGATCTTGTAGCGCTGAGCGTGGAGCTGTGGCTAGATGCCGTTCCGTCATTGGACAAAGAGATGAGATCGCCGCCTTAGGAAGTAGTGTCAGAGGCGATATACATGCCCACTACATTCTGTAGATCTCTTTCTAGGAAACACTGAATGGTTCTTAAATCTTCTAGAAATTTTTCCTTAGAAATGCTCCGTTGGATAATTCCAATGATGAGAAGTATAGAGCTGAGGCGAAAGCCTGAGCTACAACCAAAGGTATGAGAAGAAGGAGAGAGAGAGAAGATGGATGGAAGAGATGAATTATGGTTATGGATAAGAGGTGAAAGCAAACAGACAGCATTAGAGAGATACTTTTACGATGCTAAACTGCAAGAAACAGAGATAGGAAGAGCGATGGGCGGAGTTATCACATTTTGAAAACGATAGATGGGCGATTGATCCGTGCTTCAAAGTTCTTTTTCAACTTCTGTCCTGAGAGGTCCAATTCTGCATCGAAGCGCCTCGCTGTGCTTCCTACGCCACCGCTTCGGTATGGCCGTTATGAACTTCGTATAATGTATGCTATACGAAGTTATTACGAAACGTGGAACTAAACGAGAAAAATCTAGCGAGGATGCAAAGAGATATCTTGATCAATGGAAGGGTCATTTTTTCTACCCACTGTTGCTTTCGTAAACGGAGTTTTCAAAGCGAGGGATTACGATAAAGTGTGTGCAAGCATGGAAGTACATGCCCATCAGCAACAGTAGTCATGAGCCGGAGGAAGAGAGATGTTCCCTTTCGTGGCCAAAGGCGCGCTAGTTCAGCGCTCCTGGGCTGCCAATCCTTCGGGAGCTCCGCCTCCGCCGCCTGTACTCCACCCATCAGGGTGTTGCTAGCAGCATCATTGTTTTTCCACTTCGAGCGCGTGAACTGTTACATTCCCATGGAATGCATTATAAATCAAAGCATGGTCTTTGGCATGGTAGTGGCTATCGGTTTAACGACCTATTAGTTGACTGTACCTTATCGGAGGTCAACGGGCAAAGAAAGGGGTCCCATTTTGCGCCTTCTTGACGGATTTCTTTGCTTTTTTCGCCACTGGGGCATTATTCAGCATCTCCACTTCCACTATGAACCCAACCCAATCTTATCGTAATCCCTCGCTTTGAAGAAGCTGTGTTTGTGAAAGCAAAATTGTAGCTTTTGAACGCATATGTAAAGCAATGAGCTATTTTTTTTATCAAGGTACCTGTTCGGGAACTATTTCGATCGCCTACGACAACGAGGAAGTCGACATCTGAAGAAATTGCCGAAAAGGAAGTGAAACCAGTTCTCCTTCAACCTCGCTTCGTACATTGAATTTCTTTGCTCAAAATGAACCGTTCTTATCGAAATCTCCCGATAGTTATTGAGTGAGCCTTCGCACAGAAGATTCCACAATATACGAAACTTCCGCAGTTACGCAGTCAAAACAACAATCCAAGAAGGAGTTCGCGAGCAAAAACCACCGATAATGTAATGAAAGAAAAAGTAAAAAAAAACGTCGAACAGGGATTCCCCCTCTGCCACTCAGCAATGGAGGAAGATGTGTGTTGGACGAGTTGTCTGAACCTGCCAATACGAACGAAGCATGCCAATACGTCGCACGAAGCATGCTCCTGAAAAGTAAATTGGAAGATATAGCGATCATTCGAGAATTGCCTTCTCCGCGGGGGAAAAGTGCGTCCGTCTGTAAAAAAGTCAAAAAAAACTGCAGCACCACATCGATTGCTTTAAAGGACCGAGCTGAAATAGTCCTGTGGTCCCAAAACGTCGCAAATGCCTCCGCACTCAATCGCGCTCTCCACAACCGGCAAGTGGGCGGCCCTCGCAAAATCGGTAAGCTCCACCCCTTCGAAGGCGTTAGACGCCCTTCCAACGATTTCCAAAGGTGAGTTTTCAAATGAGTGACACTATCTCTGTACTTTACTAAGAGGTAGTGATTCTCTTCACCTCTTAGAATCGAATGATTGAATTCCTGTGCTCGGACTGTTGCTTTGAAGGGCAGCGCGGTACATTTAAGTTTTCTGCAGTCCGGGCACAGCTGTTTCTCCAAGTGTCCTTCTCTTGACTTTTCGCGTAGAAATTGAAGCGTCTTATTTTATTCGGGAACGGCTTTGCCTCGCTGATGGCAGTACGCGACGAAATGTGAAGCTGCGAACCTGCCGCAAGCGATTCGGGTCCGGCAACTACCGCAGCCTGTTACCTTGGCACCTGCCAGTGAAGTTTTCGACGCGTAGATTCATTCTACTGCAAATGAAGTGGCTGCCATGATGAACATAGTATAGTACACAGCATTCTTATTGTGGATTCGCATCGAGTGAGTGCTCATCGAGCTTTTCTATCGCATCAATCTGAATCGAAAGGATAATAGTTTAGAGTGCACAGCACAGAGTATCCGTCATATTGGGTTTTCAGCGGAACTATCGCACGCTAAAGGACGAATTCACGATGAAAAAGCAACTCATTCCAAGTTAACCTTGGGAGTGGGGAGTGGTCCACGAAAGGAGAAAGAAATTAGCCCAGAACCCGAGAAGTGGGACCCTCCCTTGCGCGTTGATTTGCGCATTGATGCGACTCTTATCTCTGTGCCCTCCTCATCACTTCACTCTCTCCGCTATCTGATCAATCGCGCAGAGTGACCTACGGCGAGCGAAGCTGTGTTCGGGTAGGGTGGACTGACCAGGCACAGTTGAGCCTTAAAGGAATCTTGCGCGGAAAAATCATGATTCTATTTCAGCCATAAATCACTGGCTTGAGACTCATTATCCACGATAATAGTGAAAAGAACTGAAGTATTGCTTTCGTTTTGATTAGAAATTCGAAAACTCGAAAAGGCTGCTACGCGTTCGAATTGCCCACGGACGTCTTTCACGAATGCTGGGCGACGGGGATGCTCAAACTTGGTTCTTGGAGTGCATTCACTAGAAGCTCTTTCTGGCCTTCTGCTTCGTTGCATTCACATCTTACACTTCTACTCCATCCTATTCCATCGATCGATTTGTCTCCACTCTCCGAAATCGCGCGCTTTAACCCGATTCTCTCATTGCGTCGCCTGGTACGTAGCCGGCCAAACGCCGTCTTCTTTCCATGCCTCGCCTGGCTCTGCCTCCTGGTCCTTCGATGGTCCATAACGTGTAGTTTTTGTACGTTTGTTTCTCTTCAGAAACCGAATCTTCATGCGTGAAACTTTGTGTGCTATTTCCAGTGATCACAACTGACATATTCATGTTAGGAAAGAGTGCAAGAGATTTTTCCGCGCAAGATTCCTTTAATAAGTAGCAGAGCAGATCAACTTCTTTTCGGTGCGATCGCGGTTCAGTCAACAGCCCTTAGGAGGTCCGCGGGTCCCTCAACTAGGTGGATCACTCCTTCTTCGACTCCCATTCTGAATCGTGAATTCGCCCTTAAACCCAATGACGACAGCGTGGCCCGTCGGCGGTTTTCTTAATTTCAGCATTTTTCGTGTCCCAAAGCAGCTCGAATACTTTATCTGGTCCAAAAGACGTGTGTTCATTAATAACGATTTTCAAAGGATACACGGTTGCAAATGAAAAAATCTGAAAAGGATGCCGCAACGGACGCATAATAACGGACGTCAATTGGTTTATGATCACAAATTAGAAGTTGTGTATGATTCCAGTTTTTTCGTGCAAGCAATTGAGTGTTTACATTTACATCCACATTTATTACATAGAATATGCCAAAAACAACAACAAACATCCACAAACACATGTTAGTATTTGACACACAAAATGGGAGCGTGTATCAGAGGGAACCTAGGAAAAGCTAAGCAGCTATTAGTATAACAACACAAACAGCAAGGTATCAGGAGACAACCAGTTATGAGCATGAGATGCTGGGATATATCTGGTCTCGAAGTGGAATGTTTGACAGAGAAACATGTATTTTTGCTGTGCTTGGCATAGTCGGAATTGGCTGTATGGTGAAGAAACATCTACCAAGTGCACTTGACCAGTGCAAAGCAGAGTTTGATTGAATTTTCCTTAGTTTTCAAAAAATAAAACTTAAGCAAGTTGATAGAAACCAATGAGGTTGAATCTGCATTATCTTATAGTAACTAAATCATTTATCAATCTTTTTTGCTAAGCGATCAAGATTCGGCATTAGATTTAGAGCAATAGGACTGGAACTTGTTATGAGTGCACCTAAGTGCTGAGTTCAAACGGATGACCTTATAAAAACCCTGCACCAGCAGGACGAGACTAGTGAAACGACGCAAGCCTGATTTCGCTAAGTAAGAAAAGGTTATAATATGTAGACTAGAGACTAGAAATCATTTAACTATTAGACTAAGAAATCCATATTGTCAGCAGATCAAAGTATGGGCCTCAGAATCAAAAAGGAAATAAGTTCCTCTTTAATTACTTTTTCATTAGGAGATGATGACCCATAACACAACGATTTCGCACAGTGTTATCGAGGGCGCAGAATCACTGGTGACACAATCGACAGCATGCCTTAGCGACAAATAACTGCCGTCACGCGGCAAACATCTTTCAGTAAAGTTTCTGTAATTCATGTTAGATCACCAAGCTCGGAGGACATGCTTAAGCACCAAGCCCGGAGGACCAATCAATCAGATACTGAAATGCAAGAAGACGACGTCATTAAGCGTTCAGATACGGCTTTCGAGATGCTTTTCGCGGCAACATCTTCCAACAAAGTTTCTGCAATTCATGTGAAAGGCAGGAGGGTTCATGAATTTCTCGACTAATTCGACGAAACCAGGAAATGTGATCGACCTAGCAAACAATAAGGTGGTTCCGCAGTGAAAAGCAGTTGGCGTGTAGCAACTACCAAAACTCCAGGCTGATGTAGCGATTTTCCGTGTGCCGTAATCGCCATGGTTAAGGTGGGTTCGTTGGTGAGTACCGTTGAACTTTGCCTTTTTTCCGCATTTCCCTTCTCCTAAATTCTAATGCACGAACTCCCTGTTTTTACTCAGCACTTTTCATTGTCTATTAATATTCAAGAATATGTTCGTGTATACGTTGTTATTCACACCAACTGAATGCCCTCCAAAATTATTCTGACTCAACTATTTCCTTGCGAACGCTTTCCTTCCTTGTTCAGCCATTTGCTTCAATTCTCTTTTTGTTAGATGCAATACCTCAATGAGTTAATCGTTTCAGAGACCTTTACAGTTTCTATACTATCCGCCGGCTCTCCTGTTTTACTGAGGCGCTGCTTGAAGACAATGTGGTTGACCTAAACATAGCGTAAAAATACCGCTGAGGTAGTTATGATCCATGACCGAACTCCGCTCAAGTGAGAAACTTTGCGTCCATCATTAATGGGCAATCCGAACGCCATGCGCAAATTTCTTACTTTCCTGCTTATGATCAGTGGAGCGCCTGGTCGAAATCTGACAGAAACACACTTTCGCTTCACGTTTCGCTTCCTTAGTTCGCAAATCACATAAACAGGGCTCATCCTCTCTATTCGTCTCTGACTGTGCAGCGAGATTCAACTACCAGCACTAGAGTGGCATGGCTTCATCAAAGCAAACTGCTCCCTGCTTCATCAAATGAATTGGCGGTTCCAACCACTCATCAAACACGATGCTGTCCATCTTATGCTGGAAATCGTAATTCTTAGTCCGGCGGCTTCCTACGATAACGCGGGTGCAGCAGTGTATAATACGTCCTTCGCTCAAAGCCGCGATAACGGTGCCATGTCTCACTTGGTTTTTCCAAGCAGCCTTTCCACAAGTGCACTGCCGTATTGCTTCGGCGGGATAAAAGGCCGCATCGTGTTATCCATCCATCCCCTCTTCTTCATCGACTTTCCAAAACTCACGCCTCGCCCACGAAGACTAGACAGCACCCTCTAACTCAGGCCTCTTTGATCCTCCTCGAGTAAAGAGGTCTCCTGTGGGCAATGTCCGACCGCTCGAATATATACCGTTGCCCTCAGGAAAAATAAAAATGAAAAATGACACCCTTCAGCAGCCTCAAGTGTCATGGGCGAGTGTGGAGTCCGGATAGGGTGAAGCCATTTCCTGCTGCAGTTCCAGAACCGTGACATACCTTTCTTCCTTCACCATTTCGTGAATCAGCCGCCATGCGCTCACCCCATACTGCACTGAGGTTATCCATGGTTGGACCTAACCGCTGCTTTCAGAGAACGACTTTTAGAAGTCGAGCAAGTAGTCGCAGGGCGGACCAGTGAGTCACTAACGCCTCTCGGCAACAACATGATCTACACCAAATGCCATGAAAGTTAAGGCAGTAACTGAATCGAAAATGGTACCGCGTGACGCAGCACCTAGGTGTTATTTCAGTTTTGCGATGAAG